TTCTCCTCCTCCTCATCCTTCTCCTCCTCCTCCTCCTCCTCCTCCTCCCCATCGCCGTTGACGTTGTCATCCTCCTCGGCTCCCTCATCTGTCACCCTCATTGTGATTACCCTCTTGCGGTTTTCGGGATTCCTGGTCGCCTGGGCTTAGGATCCACCTGCGCCTAAAGATGTTGCAGTTTCAATACTTCGATTTAGTGAAATGTTCAATCGGTTTGGAGTTTTGTTAAAAAGTAGAACTGAGATTTTCAAAAATCCGATGGTTTGGAGTTATCGGGATTCCTGGTCGCCTGGCTTTCGGATTTCACGCCACCTGGAAATTCTGCAAATGTTGAAAACTCTGGTTTTTTGAAATGTCCACACGGCGGCTTCTGTGCAACCACTGCTAGCTAGCACTGACGAGACCAAGCAGCGTCTCGAGCGCGCGGTGTGCGCGCCCTCCCCGCTGCAGAAGCTTGTGGCTGCTGCCTCTGCCGGCTCCTCCTCCTCCTCCTCCTCCTCCTCCTCCTCCTCCTCCTCCTCCTCCTCCTCCCTCCCATCGGCTCGGGAAGAGGCCATCACGGTAACCCTCGCTGCGGCCGATCATTATTCGTTTTATTTCTGACGGGGCCACTGACGCTCGGGCGTCTAGTGATTTGGGGCTCGGGTCTGCACCGCCGCGGGGGGATCCTTCGGCTACTGCATCTGCTAGTAGCGCATCGTGCCCAGCGGCTAGTGTCTCCGGAAGGGTAGGGCAGAGGCTCCAGAGCTCGGAGTGGCAAGAGTTTCAGTCACCGGGGAGTTTACCCTCCTTCGGGGACACCGTATGGTCTCTGAGGGCCCTTTTCATGTTTTGGTTAAACTGCGGGGGCAGTTCCTCAACCCGGAAATCCCCGACCCTGCTTGCCCACTGCAACGGTAAGCGTAGGATTACGCGACCCTTGATAATCTTGAGGCCAAACGTCACTGGTGAACGGGAGTTCCCCCAAGCGGTGACACCCAACGCGGCTAAAAGGATTGCCGCGTTTTCCGCCCTTACTCGTGGCTCCCTCATTTCTTCGGCGGAGTTCATTGGGCTTGCGGCTTGCGTCTGCTCCTGATACTCCTCCTCCTCCTGCTGCTCCTCCTCCTCCTCTTTCTCCTCCTCCTCCTCCTCCCCTTTCTCCGTCCTCCTCCTCCTCCTCCTCCCTCCTCATCCTCTCACCTCCCCCCCACAATTATATATACATAGATATAGATGTAGATATGTACATGTACATGATGTAATGCATGTTGTGTTATATGTAAGTATGCTTATGTAGAGTGCTGGTCTGTAGACATATGCCAACATAGCAGTTGTATGTACGCCTGCGCGTGCACACCTATGTCTGTAATAAACCATATATATACGCGCACATACATAGCAAGTGCAATTGATGTATGATCGTACACATGCAGACACATACCTTGAAGGTATCGCCGCAAGATTGGCCAGGAACTCCTGGAACCCACGGGGCACTCGAACTGCCCCAAACACTAACATATCGGCGTGGCTGCGCCCAAAAGGTCCCGCTTGGCTCAGCTTGGCTTAGGTTCACTTGCTGTAAAGAAAAGGCCGATGCGATGGTTGGCGCGAAGACCCTGTTACTGCATTCGGACTGTTCGCCAGGGCTTCCGCGAGGCGCTCTGGAGTGGTATTCGCCCGTGTACAGATATAGAGAAACCAATGGGTGTTCCGGTGTTCCCGCGGGGCCGTCCGGAACTATGCAGAAACACTCGGTTCCAAGACATTCTACACAATCGGCGCGACCAGGGCGCTACGAAAACGTCACTAGAATCGGCAGCGCAACAGAGAAATCATTTAAAACCAATGTGTTTGGCGCGATTCTGGACGGCCCCACGGAAAAACATGATGTGCGCTTGCCCATTTCGGATGTAGACATACCAATGCAAACAACTATTGAATGGCGTATGCGCGCGCGGCAACGACTTCGACGGCCATGGCCGCGACGGCGATGGCGACGACGGCGGCGACGAGGGCGATTCTGACGACGACGACGATGACAACGACGGCGACGTCGTCGACGACGACGACGGCGACGGCGACGACGACGGTGGCGGCGGCGACGTGGACGACGGCGACTGCGACAACGGTGACATTGACGATCACGTCAATGGCGGTGGCGACGACTGCGGCGAAGATGACGACGACGACGACGACGACATCGACGCCCTCGGCGGCCTTCATGTGCACTGAATATGAAGATGCGTGGATGCGTTTATGTAACAGTGTATGTGCGCACATGTAGATGTCATTTACCTTACCTGCATGTTGTGTCACGTATATGATGCAACATATGGTATATATACAGATGCCATATACGAGTGTAAACACATGTACATTAAAACTATGTAATTCGAGCATACATGGAAGCCGGTGCCAACCTACTTCTACACACATACGCGCATGCATGACTTTGATTACGTTGAAAACTTACTAATTCCGCCCATGCTTTCGAAGCGAGTGCATCCATGGCCATCTGCGAGCGACCACCAGAGGCCCGAGCCGAATGCAATGCATGCAAAACTTCCCATCTTTGGCGGCCCGGGGGCCCGATGACGGCCCCTGGAATAGAGCGGGGACCGACGGTCCCGGCATTCCCATAGGCCTACCACGACATGTTCCTAGAACCCAGAAATGGTGCAAGAACAAAGCATGTTCTTAGAGCATAAGCCCCAGAAATGTTCTAAGAACGTTTCGTGGAAACCACAAACGGTTCTTAGAACATTGCTTGGCAGGCCTATAGGCACGCCAGGACGCTTCGCCACCGCTTGAGATGACGGCCCCCGGAAGCCGAAAAACGCAACACAAACGCCGGTCGAACAACGACGTGAGGGGGGCCGCCGCTCGTGACGCCCACCTCGCTCCTCCCCCAGCGGCGTGGACGGGCGGCCGGCTTCCCGGCTCCTCCAGGACGCCAGTGGGTCGACGCGGGCGCCGGCGCCCGTATCCACCTCCGCGCCCCGGAGGCCGAGGGGGCGGCCGAGGGGCGGCCCTGGTCTCCGATCCGCTCCTCCCCTCGAGGGTGCGAGGGGCCCCTCTCGCCTCCCCTCCGTCCTCCCCTCGTCCCTCCTCGCTCGCTCTGGGCCGAAGTGTCATGCAGACGCGGCCACCTTTCCTGCCCCCGCCCCACAGCTTAACCCGGTGGGGCGGGGGGGCTCATTAGGGAGAATGTGAGAAAACTGTACGTGAAGAAGGAAAAAGTGAGAAGAGGCAGACAGGTAGAGCAAAGTGGTCGGCATCGAGACGCGCTCTCGTCCCTCCTCCTCCTCCTCCTCCTCCTCCTCCTCCTCCTTCTCCTCCTCCTCCTCCTCCTCCTCCTCCTCCTCCTCATCCCCCTCCTCCCCCTCCTGCTCTCCTCCGCTGCTCGATCATCACACCAGAGGACGTCAAGGAACGGCGCGCCCAGGCGTGAAGGCCGAGGGGGGTGGGCCTGCTCAGAAGGATCGGGAGGCCTCCTGTCTTCCGAGCAGCTTCATAAGCCTTCTCCGCAGCTCCGCCGCCGTCCGAGAAGGCCTGCCTCCTCTTACTTCCCCCCTCGGGGCGCCGCCGATGTTTCTGTCAACCTCCTTCCTGCTGCGCAGCTGCGCTGGCACGGTGGCGGGGTGTGCCGCAGGCAGCTGGATGTGGCTCGTTCCGCAAACCCTGAACCCAAACAAACCCAACCAGTCTTGAAGGCGAAAGTGGGGGAGGGGGGGGCGCGACGGGCTAGAGCGTTCCAGATTACCCAATCTGGCCCCAACACGGCCCCCAGAAAGCCAAAGATGACCTCGCCGAAGCTGACCTCCAATATGGATCAAAATATCCGAAGATGGCTCCAAACGGTCTCCAATGTCTCCAAGAAGCCTCAAACGCCACCAAGCCGGCTCCGAGTGGCATCCGAGCCACCCAAGAACTCCCCCGAGAGGCCACAATCCTTTCAAAACCCACGCCAGGGAAATCAATGCTTTGCGCACTCTCGCCTTTTCGCTTCCGACGGGTTTCTGAAGCCTCAAGTTGGGGGGCGGAAAGATACGGATACGTGTTGTCACCGGACCTCTCTTGGGGTGCGTTCTGACCAGAATTTCGAGGCGAATCCAGCGGTGACAACGAGGATTCCCCAGGAGGACCAGGAAAGGCCGAAAACGAAGGGGGACAACACGTATCCGTATCTTTTTCTCCCCCGATCAAGATGGCTCCAAGATGGCCCAAGAGAGGCCCCACCCAAGAAGGGCCCCAAGAGAGCCCCAAGGAGGGCTCCCAAGGAGGGCCCCCGAGAGATCCCGAAGGGCTTCCACCATGGCCCCAGCGCGCCGCCGAGCTTGGCTGTGCCTCTCGCCATCGGCTGCCTCCCCCGCTGGAGCCCGCAGCACGTGAAGAGCCCGGTGGGGCGTCAGCGGCGAGCTCCCCGGCAGGGGGAGCTCCCTCTCCTCCTTTCTCCTCCTCCTCCTCCTCCTCCTCCTCCTCCTCATCTTCCTCCCCCTCCTCCCTCCTCCTCCTCCTCCTCGTCCCTCCTCCCTCCTCCCTCCTCCCTCCTCCTCCTCCCTCCTCCCTCTCCTCCTCCTCCTCCCTCCTTCCTCCTCCCTCCTCTGCTCCAGGCACGAGCGGGAGTTCCCTGTTGGCCCACGGACGGCGGCGGTGGGAGGGCCACCCCACTGTCCTGCCAGAGGCACCAGGTGAGCACGTCCCCAGCGGCGGCAATGGCATGCTGAGAAGCGGAGGAAGAGCGCACAGCAGTCGCGCTCCTCGGCTGGCCCAAGCGTTGCAGCACGTTCTGAAAGCCGCGCTCGGGCACGAATCTAGGATCAGATTGCGAATTGCGGGGTGTCGATGTCGCAAGTCACGCAGGGACACGTACGATGCTTCTGTCAATTATGGCGTCGTGCGGGCACCCAAGTATCGCGCGCGAGTCCCGAAGCGAATGTCCCTGTGAATTCGTTGTGGATTTTGATTTTTGGCGACCGCCAAACGTGCATCATTACCAGATGTGAGCGCCATCGAACATCAACTTCGCGTTCGACCGGAATCCGCCTGGAAAGTACGTTCGCGAAACGGCCTCTGCCAACAATAGCTCATTGCATGTTCCGCCTGAAGACAGCCACGAAATTCCCCCGTCACTGGAAGTGTCTGCTTTTCTGCCACGGAATCCTCGTCATCACGCATATCACGCGAACATGAAGACACCGGTATAGCAAACGACTAAGCAGACCTAGCGCTTGAAGAGCACGCACGACATACAAACTCACTGCTAAGCGGCGGGAGGAAGCCGAGGGGGGCGGCGAACAGCCGCCGACGACCGACGGCGGCGACGACATCGACGACGCCGGCAGCGGCGACGACGACGACAGCGGCGACGACGACGAGACTTGACGGCGCCACGGGGGGAAACACCGCACGCTCCCACCCCCGCGGCGGAGCCGCTCGCGTGGCCGCTCCGCGCGCGCCGCTCAGGGCCCCCTCCTCCCCGGCGGGCCCCGCCAGGCGCCCGCCGCCCAGGCCCGCCGCCGCGCAGCTGGCCTCACCTCTCCTCCGGCCCGCGCGTCCTCCGCGCTGGCCACCTCTGGCTTCGACCGCCCCGCGCCTCGCCTCGGCCTCCTCTGGCCGCCCTCGGCGTCGCGGCCCGCCGCCGCGCCCGCGCCCCAGGGCGCCTCCCCGCAGGCCGCTCTTCCGAGCCCTCCTGCAATGGCCTCCAGCGCCGCCACCTTCATGTCGGGCGTCATGCTGGACTCCACGATGGCGCATTGCCACTCCACCCGCAGGGTCGGGCCCCTGCATGCGGCGACGAACCCGCAGAGCAGAATGCGCACCTCGTCGCTTTCGGCGCCGTCCACCTCGAGCGCCAGGGCGTCCGCGTAGCTGCTGCTGGCCGCCTCGTACTGGTCCCTGGCCTTCGCCTGCTCCTGCTGGGCCACCCCCAGCGCGCCTGAGCTGGTCCACGTTGCTTCGCCGCTCCTTCGCCTTGCCCTCGTCGCCGTCCGCGCCCTCCTCGTCCAGCGCGGGGTCGGCCTCCGCCTGCGGGAGGGACGCCGCCAAGGCCGCGCTGGCCACTTCGGCGGCCTCGCGCTCCGCGCCGCGGATCGCCTCGGCGAGCAGCACGTCGTCCGATTCCGCGTCCTGGTTGTCCTTCTTCTCCTTTTTGCCCTTTTTGTCCCACCCTCGGCGCAGGGGCCGCCGCTGGCGTCGGCGAAGGCGCGGCCGCCTCGCACGGCGCCCGCACACCGCGCGCCGCCGCAGCCGCCCTCCGCCCCAGCCTGCCGCGCCAGCACCGCTGCACCACTCCAGCAGCGACGGCTCGTGCAGCGTCCGCCCGCCGCACGGCCTCAGCCAAGGCCCGCGCCTCCGCCGAGCGTACCGCGAGTTCCTGCGCCGCCTCCCAACGCGCCGCGCGCCTGCCTCCTCGCCTCTCCTGCCTTACTGAACCCGTCGTCCTGGCTGGAGTCGCCCCTCGCGCCCTCGAGCTTCTCGGCGCCCTCGAGCTTCTCGGCGCCCCGCCTGCACGATCCCTAGGAAGCTGGCCGCTTGGGCCTCGCCGCCTGCACCGCGCTCGTCACCTTCGCGCACTGCTCCGCGGCTTAGCGCACAACCTCACCCATGCCCCCGCCGAGGTCCTTCCCTTGGCTGGGGGGGGGCGGCGGCCGCAGTGCCTGTGCCAGCCCCCTCGGGCCCCGTGGCGGCCTCGGGCTCCGCTCCCAGGCCGACCTCGGCGCCCGCCGCGCTGCCCCACAGGTGCCGGATGGCGTCGAGGAGCTGCGCGGCCCCTGGCGTTCCGACATGCGGGCTCCAACATGCGCAGCCGCAGCTCGAGCACCACACGCCCCCAGCTGGAAGCGCCAACGCGCCGCCCCCACAGCCCAGTTCCATCGCGCGCGGCCCGCCGCCGGCGCTAGCCCCAGCACGAGCACAGCTCGCGCCGAACCTTGAGCCAAAATGGCGTAAACCAAAATGGCTACGGACGCAACGGCGATGACGACGACCACCACCACCACCACGACGAAGACGAAGGCGACGATGACGACGACAACGACGACGACGACAACGACGAGGACGACGACGACGAGGACGACGACGACGACGACGACGACGACGACGACGACGACGACGACGACAACGACGACGACAGCAACGACGACGACGACGACGACGAAAGCGGCGGCGGCGGCGGCCGTGACGACGACAGCAACGACAGCGGCGGCGGAGCGGCGGAATGCGACGCGCGGCGGGCCACCGTGCCAGGGCGGGTGCCCCCGAGCAGCGAGGGTGCCGACGCGGAGCCCGCGGTGGTGGGCGGCATCGACTGGCGGGTGCGCGGTCCTCCTCCTCCTCCTCCTCCTCCTCCTCCTCCTCCGCCTCCTCCTCCTCCTTTTCCTCCTCCTCCTCCTCCTCCTCCTCCTCCTCCTCCTCTTCATCCTCCTCCTTCTCCTCCTCCTCCTCCTCCTCCTGCTCATCCTCCTCCTCCTCCTCCTACGATATCAAAGCCTTCGAAGTCTCTGATGGCAATAAAAAGAATAAGAAATAATAAGAACGGGATGTGTTTTTTACACCGCTGCGCTGGTGACGCAAGGGTCCTGCAAAACTGTGGGCCAAAATGCGATGCGGTCGGAAGCCCCTTAATACCCCGGCTCGTGCTTGCAGAACTGGCCTCGCTCTGCTAATCTCTCGCTATGCTGCATACAACTAGATGCGCAGCGTATATCTCACACCCGCCAGAGGGTAAAACAATTTGCGGGGAGGGTCTCTCCCGGACAATGAAGTGTGGAAACCGAAATTCCACGAATCTTGAGCGCAAGAAAAACAACTGGCGAAGCCCAGAACGGAAAACAAAACTGCGTAATGTGTGTGGCCTCACTCAATGCAGCCCGCATTGGCATTGTCATCCCTTGGTGCCGTCATCTTGTTATACTGCATGCTGGGCTCCTCCATCTCGACGGTGATCTCGCCTGCTCGCTTGAACTTTTTCCTTTTGTGGCAGAACCACGACTTGTCGCCCATCAAACAGTAGGTGACCATACCCTGAATTCCCACCGTTTCCTGCCGAATCTCCAGGTACTTCTAGTCGCTGTTCGTGTTGTTGCTGATCTTCTCCGTCTCCACTCTCTTCTCGAACGTGTCGCATAATTCCGTCTGAATCCTGAATCGGGGTCGTGGCAGCGCCTTGCTGGTCCGCGACCTTCAGTAGCAAGTAGTGAATCACTGACATAGCCACTAAAGTACCCGTCACCATGAATGGCAACGCGCCCCGGGCACAGAAAACCACGGACACTTCACTGTCTCGTCGCAGTAGTACTTGCACTCGGCTTTGCAGTCGTAATCCCCTGTTTAAGTAGCCACAGACATGCAGAGGCACGTTGCGAAGACGGACAACTGCATGAGTGGTGACCTGGATGACCTCGTAGCCGACGGTGTCTCCAGTCGACTACTCTCGATGATATCCTGCCTCTCTTCTTTGGTATTCTTCTTGGCCGCGGTATAGGTAGGATCGCGCTGGAGTTGCGGCCGTCCACCTCGAAGCCTATCTGCGAATAGCTGCCGTGATGCCATTGGCGCATTCGCGCATTGGCGCTCTGCGGACACCTATTTCCACTGCGTCTTTGTAGCTTCCATCCGCTCTCGCAATGCTAGGATATCGGTGCCGGCACGCTGGTGATGCTTTCCTTCTTGGCTGCAGCGTGCAGTGCCTTGGCGTCGATCACGAGTGCTGGTCCCCCTGCGTAGTGGGCGCTGCTGTCGTTATTGATGTCCGCATTGTCGTAGATGAAAGCGCAGAGCCGCTTCGCGAATTCCAGTGCGCCCACCCCTCCTGCCGCCGCTCGAGACTCCGCATGAAATGAAGATCCCGCTAGCCTCGCGAGCTTGAGGGACGTGCAATCAACGGCGCTGAAATCCGAATCCTCGCCGGGTCGTTGAGAACTCGCATGGCCTCCATGACTTGATCTGTCTTGACGCACTCCCAAATCTGCGCCCGTCATAGCCACCAAAACTATGTCATTGACCTTTCCGATCTGCCCCATCCTAAGCCCTGCGTCCACATTCTGCGCGTAGAACCTGAGCGTCGCGTGAACTTCCCTCGCCGTCGTCGCCGTTGCCGCGGGCAGCTGCCCTCGGCGAGCGCTGGCCCCCGCTGACGCGCGCGGGCGCGCCTGGGAACTTGGCAACTGCAGCGCTCAAAATAATCTTCGAATTTGTCGGATCTCCCTTGAGCGTGAATGGGCGGTCGTTGTCACCGTTGCCCCAGTCGATCGCGATCGGTTTGAGGTCGCAGGCGCGCGTCTGCACCTTGATGTTGAGATCGGTGCTGTTGGCCTGCTTGTTGTTCCAATGAGTCGTCTGGTGTGGGTCCGATCCGCAGGGCTCCATCTTGCCCTTCTCGATCCATTTCCAGAACTTGAACTTGCTCTTGACTGCCTCAGTGATGGCGCTGCAGCTGCTTCTGGGCCGGCGGCCGCCTCCTCCAGCACGTCGCCCACGTGGAGTAGGATGAAGCCGTCGCTGCCGCCGCCCGTGTCGTAGCTCACGAGTAGACACGGGTCCAGCGGGCGTTGCTTGAGACCGCTGGCCTCGAGGTCGCCAACTGCTCGTTGCCACCAACGTCGCGGCGCGCCCACCTGCCCGCGCATGGGCCTGATCAGCTTCATCAGCGCGTCGGGCTCGATGCCCATCGGGTCTGCTGCGTCTGTGTACTTTTTGCGTAGAGCGCCCGCTCTTGGGATCGCCCTTGAAGGAATGCTGCAGCCGCGTCTGCTGTCCAAAGTCTCCATCCGTTGTTCGCCGCCAGTGGCATAGCCAGCTGACGTCCCAATCTCGATGTTGTGGGCAACGCCGCGGGTACCTTCCCGTCGAGTGCGTCTGGGTCGTTGGTGCCCTGGAGTGCTAGGCGCGCCGTGGCCCTGGGGTACCATCGTCGTTCTTGCTCCACTGCAATGCCCACTTGGCCTCCAGGATACGCTTGGGATCTTCAGTTCTGGTCGGCTTGTGGAACTCCCAGACATCCTCGTCGGAGAACTCTTCGAGCTCCTTCACTTTGCCATCCACGAACGCCACTCTCCCGCGAGGCGTCATGCTCCTGTTGCTGACCTCGGCGGAGATGTCGTTCAGCCTAGCATCCTTGTTGTCGAACGCCCATCCGAACGGTAGGTCCTCGTCCTCTAGCACGAGCCGCATGGCCGCAAGCTCGTCGTCTGCGCTGTCGTCGCCCACTGGTTGGGCTGCTGCCGTCGGGTCTGGCATCGGCGGTCCTCGGTGGACTCCTCCTCCAGGTCGGGTGAATATATATATATATATATATATATATATATAAGCTTCAACCTTGCCAAGTCGCCTGCGAATCCCCCTTCGGCTCGAGCTCGCCGCAGCAAACGTGGGCGCCCGCGTCGTCGATCCCGCGGGTGCCGACACTGCTGGGCCCGGCGTCGCTGGCGTCGGTGCCGGTGGCAGCGACCGAGCTGGAGTTGGCGGGGGCGGTTGCGGTTGCTCTGTTGGCGCTGTTGGCTCGGCATTTGGCGCTGGTCCGGTTGACCTTCGTTCGGTTGAGGCGTGAGCCGGGGCGTCTCTGCTGAACCCGCCGGCTCGTCCTCCGAGGGGCTCAGCGGCCCTGGAGGGGCTGGCGGCGGTGGCGAAGCCTGCGTCGATGGCGAAGCCGCCGCTCCAGCGGTTGCTGCCGACGCGCTTGGCGCCGAGGCCGGCGCCGACGGTGATTCTCTCTGCTTCTCCGAGGGCGGCCTGTCTCCAGGTCCTTCGTCGTCGTCTCCGATGTCCACGTCCGAGTCGCCCGGTGCGTCGAGTGGCTGATGGCGAAGGCTGACGTCGCGCAACTGCACAACCCCGGCCCGCTGCATTTTGCCCGGGGTCTCCTTGGATTGCGCGAGGTCCTCGAGTGGAACGCATCCTTGATCGCCGACGTCTGGCCGAACGCGTCCTGGCGCACATCGTAGTAATTGCGCGCCGCGAACGATCCAGTACACCCTCGGCCCGCTTTCGTCCTGCCTCATCCCCTTGAAGACTACGATCGCGGGCCCTTTCCACCTGTTCTCGATGAGATCGTCGGTCATACCTTCGCGCCAATGGAAGATAGAAGCAACGTAGCAAAGTTGACCAATGGCCGAAACGCGCTCGAGCGCAACGCGTCGACGTAACTGTGCCCGCCGTGACATTGCTGAAGCGCCCGCATTCATAAATGCCGTAGCTGCCATGGATCTCCTCTCCAGCGCGGTCTCGCAGTCCTCGCCCCCCTTCATCTGGCACAGGGTCACTGGTGAGAACTCGTCGCTGGAGTTGGTCATGGCGGCAGCAGGACCCATTCCTAAAAACCATTGGCATGGTGAATAGCTTTGCGTAGACGCCGAACGATTGGCCCGGCGCGGCGCGTAGACGCAGGCCCCCGTAACCAAATCCTCCGTGACCGACGACCACGCGCCACGATCGATAGCATCAGCACAATGCACTTCGATCGCTTCCCGGATGCCTTAATGACGTCGCTCAACATCTCCTAGACTCGAATGCGCACCGATTGCCGCGATGACGATCGAAATATTGCGCTGCTCCAGAAATTGTGCGAAACGCTCTGGAGCGAAACCTGGTCAATCATCTGTGCGTAACGCTCCCATGTGTCCGAACTGTCTGGTCCAGCCTCGCTCGACTGCCTTGACTAGCTCCTCGGCCGTCTCGGTCTTTATGGTACTTAGTGCACGATGCCACGTAGCCCCGTCTACCACGAAGAGAACAGCCGCCTTGTCGTTCGCCGTCTTGACCCAGAAAATGTCCGTGTAGACGATATCGTTGAACTTCGCGGCCTGCTTTGCTGACGCTTTGACTGCCTTTGCTGGTCGCTGGCGTGACATGCAGCGTTGGCAGCGATACTCTGTCGCGCATGGGAGTACATTCTCCTGCGCGCCTGCTTGCTGGAGCCGCCGATGTAGCACTGCTGCGCTGGGGAGTCCCATGATCCAGCGGAGTCGCTTGACGTAGCGCAAGGCCTCGCTGCCGCACTGCTCTCGAAGTCGCCCGCGAGCGTCAGCCTCTTGATGAAATTTCGAATGGCCTGGTTTGGTGCTCTCTTCGGACCGGGAAGAAACCTCAACTGGGTAGATCCCCTCGATCTCTGGCTCGACCATGACATGCACCATCGTAGCTGCCACGATGCATGGGTCGTCCTCCGACTCCTTGGCGCGCTGCTTTCCTTCAAGTAGGTCGCGTCCGCGAGAGCGATCTCATCGCTCGCTGAGGATGGTTGCCATGAGCTTATTGGTCGTCTTGATCATCGTCGGCTTCTCGACCATGCGCGCCGGCGCATGCGCTAATCGAACCTGGCGCACTCGCCGCGCGAGCTGCTAAATGCCACTGCGTGCCAAGCTGTCGAGGTAGCAGGGCGTTCGATGTGTGCATGACGTCCTCCTTCCTGTCGCACGCGATAGACATTGGCCGCGAACTGTAGATGTACTCGGTGATGCCAATCTCGTAGATCGGTGAGGTAACCCTTCCATCCGGACGCCTGCGGATGTCGAGCTCCTGCAGATTGGACCAGGGCCCGCGCATAGGTGAGAAGTGGACCTCATCGGTCTGCTCTTCCTTCAGCTTTATCAGGAATGCCTTCTGGTGGTCCTCCATGGCCAACCTCCAGAAATCTAGTTTTTACCCCCCCCCCTGGAGCTCTCGGCGGTGAATGAACTGGCCCTCCCTCCTCCCTCCCTCCGCCTCCGTCCTCCTCCTCCTCCTCCTCCTCCTCCTCCTCCTCCTCGCCCTCCTCCCTCCTCCTCCTCCCTCCTCCTCCTCCCCTCCTCCTCCTCCTCCTCCTCCTCCTCCTCTCCTAATCCTCCTCCTCCTCCTCTTCCTCCTCCTTCCTCATCATAACGTTACTCCTCTCCTCCTCCCTCCTCTCTCCTCCTCCTCCTCCTCCTCCTCCTCCTCCATCCTCCTCAGGCCTCCTCCTCTTCCTCCTCCTCCTCAGGCCTCCTCAGTCCCCCTCCTTCTCCCCAGGCCTCCTCCTCCCCCCCATGCAGTCCAGGTGGCCGTGGGTGTGCTCGACGTGGGGCCATGCGACCGAGCGCGAATCTTCAATGCATTGGGCGTTAAGCTCGCTGCATGGCATGTTAGTGAACCTCCTCCCTCCCCCTGCTCCTCCTCCTCCTCCTCCCTCCTTCCTCCTCCTCCTCCTCCTCCTGCTCATCATCATCCTCCTCCTCCCTCCTCCCTCTCCCTCCTTATCTCTCTCCTCCCTCCTTTCCCCCCTCCTTCTCCTCCTCCTCCTTCTCCTCCTCCTCCTCTTGCTCCGCCTCTTGCTAGGGTCAAGAAGCTTTCCTGCAAGCACTGGCGAGGCATAACTTAATGACACTCCCGTTGCCTAAGCTGAGATGACGGCCCAGTAGGCCCCAAAAATCGCCCACGAGGCCCCCAACATGGCCCCACGACGGCCCGAGAGGCCCCCGAGACGGTCCCAAGAGGGCCCAATAGGCCTCCAAGACTGCCAACATGACTTCCAAGACGGCTAAGATGGCCCCACGATGCCTCCAAGACGGCCCAAGATGCGCCCAAGACGGCCTAAGATGGCCTCAATATGACGCAAGGCTGCCCAAGAGGCCCCCAAGAGGCCTCCAAGACGGCACAAAAGGCGTCCAGGAGGTCCTCCAGGGTCCGAAGAGGCCAAATTCATTGATGTTCCCTAGGTGTTTGAAAGATTTTGACAATTGCTTCCTCTCTGCATTCCGACAGCTCAAGACGGCGCAATAAGCCCCCAATATCGCGTAAGAGGCCTCCCAGATAACCCCATGTCGGCCCAAAAAACCCTCAAGACGGCCCCAAGAAAGCCCCAACACTGCCCAAGAGGCCTTCAAAACGCTCAAGATGGCCTCTAAGAACCCCTGATATGCCCCAAGAGAGCCCCAAGACGACCCAGACAGGCCCCCAAGACGGCTTCCGGCGGCGTCAGACAAGCCAGGAAAGCCCTAAGACGGCCAAACAAGCACCCGAGAAGCTCCCAAAGGCCACCAAAAACAATCCAAGAGGCCACCAGGATACTCCAAAAAAGCCCCAAGAGTGCCCCAAGAGGCGCCCAAGAGGCCTTCTCCTCCTCCTCCTCCTCCTCCTCCTGCGCTCCTCCCCTCCTCCTCCTCCTCCTCCTCCTCCTCCTCCCCCTCCTCCTCCTCCTCCTCCTCCTCCTCCCTCCTCTCCTCCTCCCTCCTCCTCCTCCTCCTCCCCTCCCTCCTCCTCCTCCTCCTCCTCCTCCTCCTCCTCCTCCTCCTCCTACCTCTCCTCCTCCGCGCTCCTCCTCCTCCTCCTCCTCCTCCTCCTCCTCCTTACTCACTCCTCCTCCTCCTCCTCCTCCTCCTCTCCTCCCCTCCTCCCCTCCCCCTCCCCTCGCCCCCCCACGCGGCCCCCAGGGATGGCCCAGAGAGGCCTTCCAAGGCCACCCCCCTGCTCCCGCAGATCTCTCGGTTCATCCTGGTTGATCGCTCTGTTTCCCTAGATGTGTCCCTTCGTTTTTACCTAACAGCTTTCGCTGATAGGTTTCTAGTGGAATCAAAAGAGAGCATCTTGACGCCCCAAGGGGGTCTGGGCGGGATCCCGACAGATCCGCACAGATCCGGCAGCCCCAGGAATCCTTAGGAATCCTTAGGAATTCTTAGGAGTCCTTAGGAATCCACTCCCAGAACACCATTCCCAGGCCACATTTTGAATGCCTGGAGCCAGCTGTAAGCCACTTCGTGTTCTTCGTGTTCCCAGAACACCATTCCCAGGCCACATTTTGAATGCCCGGAGCCAACTGTAGGCCATTTCGTGTTCTTCGTCTTCCCAGAACACCACTCCCAGGCCACATTGTGAATGCCCCGGGCCAACTGTAGGCCACTTCGTGATCTTCGTGTTCCCAGAACACCAGTCCTGTGCCATATTTTGAATGCCCGAGCTGAGGCAGGCTGAGGCCGAGGCAAGCTGAGGCCGAGGCAGGCTGAGGCTGAGGCTGAGGCACGCCGAGGCAGGCTGAGGCTGAGGCTGAGGCAGGCTGAGGCTGACGCAGGCTGAGGCTGAGGCAGGCTGATGGCCCTGAGGCTGACGCAGGCCTAGGGGCGGGGCGGCTGAGTTGAGGCTGAGGCGGCTGAGGCTGAGGCTGGCTG